TACAGCTACATGTTGCATGCGGATACTCTTGACAGCTGTGTTCGAGATTTTGCGTTTGTGTTGACCTCTTGTCTCAGTTCCGGGGTTCTTTGTAATTATGCAACAAATGCATCAGCGACTTTGATATTATAGCTATTCGACAGGATGCCCCCAACAAACAACTTTTACTGCTATTGTAATGCACGGGACGAAACATTTTAAAACACAAATAAGTTTCCTTTTCCTACGTACTCCGGGCCACATTTTTACAAAGGGGACGGCATTCTGGGATTACAAACCAAATTAAAAGTTTTCATAAACCTACAAAAATGATATTGTTTAGCTAGTATAGCCTTAAACCTATCACAAGTGCTATTCCAACATTACAGATATGTGGTGTAGGCATAAATATATGTGTATATATGATCATCGATTAGTTTGGTGTTCAACAGGAATTATCATATAGATTTCAGTTCATGTTCCCATAGACATTCATGTTCGCATAGAAATAGAGTTCATGATCACATAGACGATAGAGAATACGTCGGATGAAAATAGGAGTTCAAATAATAGATTAGATTTTCTTGGCGTGATACTTGACGTACGATGATACTTAGAGGATATAAAACGTGCTGACAGATTTAAAACGGCTTCAAATGCTGATGAAATATATATATGTATATATATATATATATATCAGGATACTAGACTGAGTCGGCCTCTTCGAGCTTACATCGTACAGCTGTTTTGTAAATTCAAAAGTTTCATTTGAGAGCAAGGGAGCATTAGAGGAGGACACTTTACACTGCTTACGTGTAGGAACGCGAAAGCATTATAGTCCCGCGCGGTCGGCCCACAGTCCATCGTACGGAGCACAACAAGCACAGATGAAGTTCAAAGCGCACCTTCTGCACACAGCGCTCCGGCGGTTACAACACGCTCCGCCACTGCACAGGCGCGGCGCCCCCACCGGCTTCACGGCTTCCTTGACGAAGTATCTGCGTTAGTGTGCTTTTCTTCGTGTTTTATTTCTGAGGCGCGTCCGCTTTTACCTTGAGCAGCGGCGTCCCCACCGGCTTCACGGCCTCCGGGACGAAGCATCTGCGTTGCTGTGCTTTTCTTTGTGTTTTATATCCGAGGCGCGTTCTTTTTGACCCAGAGCGGCACGTGCTTGAGGAGGTATTTTTATGGCCGCCTTTCGGGTACAACGCCGACGGTTTTTCGCATAATGGGACATATAAGGTTTTCGCATTAATAACAAGTGCGTCCCATCTGCCTAAGGATACAATCACAGTAGCTTGTGACGTACTCGGTGTATTTTCTAATGTTAGTTCAGATGCTATGCCAACACCTTGGTGTTTATAATAGAAAGCCATATCAATAGAAATATTAGGCAAGTGATAGAAAATACACGCCGCAGCTCTACGGGAGATTCCTTTTACCGGGCATTTTCTAGAGTTCAATAATTTGCATTCTCAAGAATAATACCACGAGGCAATATCCTGAATGTCCGACTGAGATATACGAACGACAAAAATGTTAGCAATTTTAAGATAAACAACCCAGTCATAAAAAAATTGACCTATAGAAGAGAAAACGTGAGTTAATTGGTAAGTCCTTTATACAGATTATGAATATTAGATGACAAAGTCAAACCTCAAGTTTTGATTCGTTGCTTCCCTATAAGAGTTTTGCACAACATGAATCAAAAATGTGTTTTGGTATGATAATTGAAATTAAAGTTACGCGGTTGGTTACTCGAGCCCAAAATTATGTATGTAAAATATAAACAAGCTCACTTAGATTTATCACTTCTAAATCAAATCTGATTTGTCATAATTCACATCTTTCTAGGGTGCTTGCAGACCGCCAACTCTAAGCGCGACTAGAACCGTAATTTCAGGGTGGTAACTGGCTTAGTTTCGTCTCTTTGCATGTTTCAGGCCACCTCAAAAAATCTCCCTGCCTGGAAATATGGATTCGTGTTTTCTGTCTTCAAAATAAGCATGTTGTTTGGATCTCAACTTTCGCAACCATTGGTGAGAGTCGTATTAGTTTGGCTTCACTAAGTAAGTGCCACACTAGAAAGAAAGGAATAAATGTGTCATTGCCTAATTGCGTGATAGGCGTAGTGTGCGTTCATTTCACCGGAAGATCGGCAATTAGTTTTGAGGATTAGTCTGGAAAGGAGATGTTTTCGTCAATAAACCAATGAGTATTTTTTGTCTTTAATTATGATAATCATTGCATAACACACCATGTAGCCAGCTGCAAATATTTCGAATTTGAAATATAATGATTAAAATTAGTACAGCAAAATGAATCACAAAGCTTGCGCTTCATTTTAATTAAGCTATGAGTGTTTCATATAAAGTGTAAATGATTTGCTTAATATTTATGTCTTGGCCCCTTAAGGTGCAGGCTCTAATGGGCTGGCCTCCTAGAAAACACCTAATTACTACTGCGATTTGTATTGCAAGTTACGCAAGACTATAAATACTTCCCGTGAAATCAAGTTGATAAGACTTTGACGTTCTCTTAGTTGCTAACTTTGTGGCGTATATAATAAAACATGAACGTTATAATTGGTGAAAAACACCGCAAACGTTGAGGCATAAAAATGAAGAACAAATTGCTGGGCATTTGCATTGCACATGAAACGTGCGGCTCGTCTGGCCCGCTGAGCAAGTAGCCTTCGCTTACGCCGATCTTATTCAGTTGTGGCATCGAGGGATCTCTTAGCCGTACGTATTGCCTGCTGAGCCTATAGTCTTTGTGAAGCCTGATTCCCTCGGATGGACGTCTACGCTCTTGACGTTCTTCATTGGTTAGTTTAGCCACTGGCTTAAGGCCTGGGATGTAGACTCGATAGCGATTCCTGAAATGGAGATACCGGCACTAATCCTGGTTTTAAACCCGTTGCGCTCTTACAGAACCCTGCATATACTGCGTTTTACGTTGCGTCCGGACGCAGCGGACACTACCAGCTATCCTAGTCAATCGCGCTCTATGGACCTAGCCCGTGAGGCGCTTTCCGCGCGTCGCTGTGCCCCCTCTCCAAGGTCACGTGACACTGGCAAGGCCTTCGATTGGATCCTATGGCTCGTAACATCTGTTGCGCTCGGACGTAAGGTGAAATGGAGTAAAGCCGTATATATTTCTCCGACGTCATCCAGCCACCATCTGGCGGGCGAGCGATGACGCGTGAGTGATTGCACATTCACCAGCCAATCAGCGTCGAGCTAGGGGCTGTGACGTCATCACCTGGCTCAGCCAATAAGCATCGAGTCAATCGGTGGTTTCACTTTAAGCATTCACAAATTGTTAGGCCCCCCCCCCCCCCCCCCCCACTTCCCTTGAAGAGACGAAGCACGTTCCACGTGAAAAAGTGAGTGCGTCCCAACCATCCTGAAATGAACATATACGCTGTGGCGTTCTTCATCTTGAATTGGGGTCAGTGAAAACATTAAAAAAATATCTCTTCGGATTCCGCGAATATATTAGATGCAACTACATACCCATGTTTACTAGGCCTACGAGCTTGCAACGTAGTATGCTCTGAAACTACTCTGGTTTAAATTTAATCTTTCACTTCACGCCTACACTCAGTCGCTTGCTGGTGCAATAGCATAGAGTGGTTTTGTAAAATGCTTGGAATGCAATTTTTTTATTAGAGCGCAGCTCTTAGGCGCCCGTTTCCGGCCTGAGCTGCGTCGCCGTCGGCGTAACCGCGCGTAACCCTCATAACCCTCGTGAGAGTTACAAGGGTTACGAGGGTTACTCTCACGAGGACCACGAGGGTTACCCCCGTCACCCTCGTGAGAGTAACCCTGAAAACCCTCGTAACCTTCACGAGGATTACGAGGGTTAGTTACCTTCAAAAGGGTTACCCTCACGAGGGTCACGAGAGTTACCCTCACAAGGGTTACTAGGGTTTCCCTCACGAGGGTTACCCTGACGAGGGTCACGATGCTTACCCTCACGAGGGTCACGAGGGTTACTTTCACGTGGGTCACGATGGTTACCCTCACCAGGGTCACGAGAGTTACCCTCACGAGGGTCACGATGGTTACCCTCAGGAGGGTTACCCTCACGAGGGTCACGAGGGTTGCCCTCAGGAAGGTTACCCTCACGAGGGTCATGAGGGTTACCCCCTTAGGTCACGTGACCCCCTTAGGTCACGTGGCCCCCTGAGGTCACGTGACTCCCCTGAGGTCACGTGACCCCTGATTTCACGTGACCCCCTCAGGCCACATGACCCCCTGAGGTCACGTGATCCCCTCAGGTCACGTGACCCCCTCATGTCACGCGACCCCCTTAGCTCACGTGACCCTCTGAGGTCACGTGACCAACTGAAGTCACGTGACCCCCTGAGGTCACGTGACCTCAGGGAGTCGCCTATCCCTCAGTACCCTTCCATCCTCATCCTCAGGAGCTGCGTTGTAATCCAGCGTTACAGTGAGCTAAACGGCTTTCATTTTATAACGCCACGGCATATTTTTTTAATTTTTATTTTGCTGTAACATTTTTTAGCAATCCTAGCTCATGTAAACGCTAAAATATAGCTGTCATTTTATTCGTTCAAACTTAGGTATAATCATGTTAAGTTGAACAAAATATTGAGCCTGAAATAACTGCAGGTGTTGCTTCGTTTCGGCATAAATAAAACAAAAACAATAATTGTGAATTATCTAGCATTAGAATTTAATATTGAATATAATGTACGAATAGCACTCAATGCTGTTACTTTTACTTGAAATGTAATCGACTAAGTTGCACAGAAATAATTATTGCTTTGGTGTATAACATTCAAGTGAATTCATTTGAATATATTTGGATATATATTTTATGCGATATTTTATTTGCACTGAACCCCAGTGCGGTATTCGTTTTGTTGGCACGTGCGCATGGTATTCACAAAAATAAATGAGTGCTGAGAGGAATCCTACTAATTGTTCCTTTACTGTTTATACGTCTTCGCCGAATAACAATCACATTTCATGCTAACTTTTTGTTTACAGATGAAACGAACTTCCCCCACCACATGTTACTTTATTGGTCAGATCGGATTTTTCCTATTTAATATTATTCTCGGGTAAGCTCAAATAACCTTCATTATTTTCTGTTCAATTCTAGGTCCACCTAGCCTTTTTAGCATATTAAGCAGCAATTACCTAGTGAATAGTCGTAGAGACAAAACTGAAGTCATAACGAGTATAAGCTTGGTTTCTCCTTCACAAGGTGGAAGATTTTTGCAGCTGCGCTATAGGTGTTTAAATGGATGAACACCTCCGTGACATGCACTCTCAAAAATGCACTTCAGTCTAAGTTTTTGCAAAAGCATTCGTACAACGTATAAGTGCTATCTACTGAGCAAGCTCGGGGAACAAAGATATCGAAAATATGACTGGACCCAAATCAGAAGTCCGCGATGCGACGCTGGCCTGGATGTCGGCAAGGGAGACGTCGTGCCCAGAGTCATATAGCAGATTTTAATAAATATTTCAGCAAAAGCAAACAAATACATTCGTCAACCGAACATATCTCAGCCCGGCTCCGGGAATAGTGGCGACGCATTGATGTATGCTTAAGCCTAATTCACAAATTTCCATTTGACAGTGTTCGAGTGCGTTGCGTTCTCTTGTAGCCGTTTAATACAATGACACATTGACGCCATTAATTCGGTAGCGCTGGAATCATTTTGTTCAGCGAATAGAATAATATGCTTTCTTGCGCATCATTCTTTTGCAGTAGATTTCAAGTCATTCTGAAGGCATTATAAGCGATAGTTTAATATTGATAATTCGTAGATTTCAACTCGCAAATACTGCTGGTGCCAGTATGCCAGTGTGTTTGCTCGTTGATAAAGGTTACACGAAAACGCAAAGCACGCGAGTCAAGTGAAACGCAAATGTGTGAACGAGCCGTGAGCCCGACTGGACCTAAAGGCTGGAAGAAGTGCAATCCCTTTTCTCTTGATGTTGCGATTTTAAACCAGAACACAGGGGGAAAACGTACCATAGCGAACAGGCACACCCTTTTGTTGATCTGCAACCGCCTTTGCAGTCTGAATTTGAAACATGTAAACCTGCATGTCCAATTCTTTCAATTCTTAGTTATCATTTAGACAGCCATTAGGTATTGCGACTACTTTTCGTACTCATATAATATACATCACCGTTTTTCAGCTGCCTGTATTGGATTCCAGACGGCAACACCTTGCTTGGGGTTTCTATTGCCTCTGTCTTAGTTGGAGGCTTCACCAACATGCTCTATCTTGTTAGTGCCTACAGCATTATTACTAATCAGTATCCCAAGAGCGAAGGCGTTGTGATGGTAAGTAATGCCATGTCAGACTAAATATATTTTAAGCTACTCAAGGACGTTTTTCCTCTCCTCGCCTTTAAATAGTCAATATAAAACCCGTTTGTTGCATTATCTTTAAACTTAACGCAAACATTTAGACCTAAAAGACATACATACGATTAAGATGCAATTAATGCAAAGGTGCAAACGAGTTGGACAAGAATGGCAATAATAATCTTGGAGAAGAGGAACAAAGGGGACAAAGAACAAACACAAATCTCCAAACACAGCTATAGGTGACTAGTGCGCGAAATGGAGAGGTCCCGGGTTCGATTCCCGGAACAGGTGGACTTTTTCGGTCGCGCACCAGTCACCTATTTATTTATTTACAATACCCTCAGGGTCATAAGGCGTTAGAGAGGGGAGTAGGTGTTAAGTACAATAGTTGATACTGCTTCTCGGAATCTGATGGGATCCTGAATGGTGACGATGTCTTCGGGAAGGTCATTCTAGTCCACAATTGCATCAGGAAGAGGGGCGTGCTGGTGTGCTGTGGAAAAACACTTTGGCCTGGATATCTTATTGCAATGATCGAGTCTGGAGGAAAGATAAGCCGGTGGGGAAAGAATAGACTGATTTAAAAGTGGTGAATAAAAACTTTATGCAGAAGGCAGAGACGGGATATTTTTCGACGGGTGAAATGCAATGGGGAGAGAGATGTGATTTAATGAGGGAAACACTTGAAAAACTGGAGTAATCAGACTGAACAAAACGCGTAGCACGGGTTTGAACAGATTCAATGTAGTCTGTTAATGTAGCTTGATGAGGGTGCCAGATTGACGATGCGTATTCTAATTTAGACCGGGCTAGGGCAAGATAGAGGAGCCGTTTTAGTTGAGAAGGGGCGGATCTGAAATTGCGACGAAGGAAACCCAATCTTTTTGTTAGCGGAACTCAACACTGAATTAATATGGTTTTCCCAGGAGAGGTTTGAAGTTAGAAGAGCGCCGAGGTATTTATACATATCCGTGGGTTGAAGAGGGATGCCATTGAGAAAATTAACAGGAGAGGTTTGAAAAGAGGAACGAGAAAAGCGCATGCATTTACATTTGCTGACGTTGAGCGTCATTTGCCAGTTAGTGCACCAGCTCTGAACTAGGTCCAGGTCATTTTGTAGTGTTAAAAAGTAACGAGGGGATGTTATTTTTTGGTAAAGGACACAGTCGTCGGCAAATAGGCACATGGGTGAGTATACCTGAAGAGGAAGATCGTTGATGTAGATGAGGAAAAGTAACGGACCAAGCACCGCTCGCTGAGGCACGCCAGATGTTACGGGGGCTAAAGTAGACGAACAATTATTACCATGAAAAAACTGATGACGCTGAGAAAGAAAAGGTTCAATCCAGGAGAGAAAATTATTATCGAGGTTTAATAGCGATAGTTTTAGAAGCAGTCTGTTATGCGGAACTTTGTCAAAAGCATTAGCGAAGTCGAGAAATACAGCGTCAGTGGGGTAGCCAGAATCAAGGTTTGCGAACAGGTCGTTTGTTAAGTAGAGAATTTGTGTTTCGCAGGAGTAGTTTCGACGGAAGCCGTGCTGTGCTGTATTAAAAGAAGGAGATAGAATCAATTGGTGAATAGATAGTTGCTTGTGAATTACGTGCTCGAGTATTTTAGAAGGTACAGAAGTTAGAGATATTGGCCTATCGTTTAAAGGAGATTTATCGCCGCTTTTGTGGACCGGGATGACCTTGCCGATTCTCTAATCCTCAGGAACCGCCGGCGTATCTAATGATTGTTGAAAAGTTTTTGTTAGAAATAGGCTTGAGGAATATTTAGTGCCTTGTAAGACCTTTGAATTTATGCCGTCGACACCACAGGAAGAGGACATTTTCAGTGACTTAATAATACTAACAATACCTTCGTAATCAATACAGATTGGATCCATAGGTAAAACATTGCTAGTAATAGGTAAGGACAGTGTTAAGGGACAGTGGGCGGTGAAATGGGAAGAAAATATATGATTAAGAACTGTGGCACACTGATTAATCTTGATAATAATCTCAGAATCATCAATAAGCGCTAGTGGGGAGTAAGGTGCATGGTTTACAACATTCCAAAATTGGCGCGGGTTGTTTAGTAGCATAGATGGAAGGGTCTCCTGGTAGAATATACGCTTCTGGTGCTCTAACATAATTTTATATTCAGTGGCGCATTCATGATATTTAGACCAGGATAAAGCAGTGTCTTGTTTTTTGGCTACTCAAAATGGTCGTTTTTTTCTTATTGTTAAGGGTTTTTAGTGAGCGCGAATACCAAGGATTACAAGACCGGGAACCGATGTTAATATTTGGAACATGAGCTTCAATGAGTTGCAGTTATTTGTTTTTAAAAATGCACCAATTTTCGTTTATATTCCTATCGTCAAAACCCACCAGGAAGACTGAGAAATCGCTTGAGAGGTCCTGGTTAAGCTGCTCGTAGTTCCCTTTATTATATAGCCTTATTTGCTTGGTCAACCTGAATGGTTCTGGTGCTTGAAATGCTAGGTTAAAGAGCACGGCTTTCTGGTCACTGATGCCTTCAAAACCGGTAAGAGAGGTAATAGATTTCGGATGGTTACTCAAAAGCAAGTCTAACATATTTGATCATATCGTGGTTACACGGGTAGGGAAAGAAATTACCCGGGGAAGGTTAAAATCCAGGCAGAGACTGATAAAATTGCGACACTCACCAAAACTTCCACTACCAACAAGATCTGATAAATTTCTATTTATCTCACGGAAGTTAAAATCACCTACTAAGAAAACAGAATGACCAGGAGATTGTGTTAACAAAAGTGACAACTCATCATGCAAAGCAGTTACAAAACTAGATGACACATCTGGTGGTAGATAACACACGCCAACCAGGATTGACTTAAAACCACATTTCACTGAGACCCAGATCGCCTCAATTGACATGGAAACGAAAAGAAATGTGCTGATGATGCTTTTATCAATGGATATTAAAACGCCACCACCACAACAATCCTTCCGATCGCGTCGATAAAATGTAGTTTGAATGATTCGGCAGTATTTCAATTGTCGTTTATATCAGGATGAAGCCAGGTCTCAGTGATCAGTACTATCTTAGCATCACAGGTTGAAATGGGAGAACACAATTCGTCACGCTTTTGTATTAAACTCCGCTTATTTAAGTATAAAACACGTATAAGTAAGTGAGAGTTGGAGGAAGCAACGCGTTTGTTCCCACTCCCAGCGTCTGCCTATGCGGAAGCACTAACCACAGAATTTGAAACGGAGTCGTAAAGGAAGACATACGAACCCATATGTAGTTTATCAAAACGCAGCTTATGCAGAGCTTCCTGTGACTTGGCGAATGCAAGAAGTCTCTGACGCGCAACGCGAACTTTCTTCGAGAAATCTTCAGACATAGAAAAAGGGAGGCCGCGCAGCTTCGGTCCACACAAAAGTAACTGTTTTTTTTTATTCTTTTTTTGTTTTGTATGAAGAAAAGTTTACAATAATAGGCCTGTTCTTTATTGGGTTCCCAATCTGTGTGCACGTTCGATCTGAGAGCTATCAAAAGTGACACCAAGTTTCTAAATTGCAAATTCTAAAACTTTTTGTTCGGACAAAGACCATGACTCGCCGGCAGCATCGGGTATGCCATAATATAGAAGATTACACCGTCGCGAGTGGTTTTAAAAATCATCAAGTCGAGATAGCATAACTTCAGTTGCAGTGGACTGCACAGCGACGGAATGTTGCAGATTACAGATATCTGCTTTGACCTGCGTGATAGACAAGATTTCTTTTTCGAATGAAACGAGTTTGCATTTAGCGCCGCCACCGAAGTCTCAAGTTGAGCCTGTTTGCCAAGTATCGCCTCAACATCGGCTTTTAGGGCAGCTTGTCCCGCCGCAAGGCCGGTTACATTAGCATCGAGTTTCTGCACTAGCTCGTACATACTACCAAGTTGTTTCACCTGCGCTTCCAATTCAGCCTTGGTAGGCGCGGGACCAAATTTGAGGACTTGTTTCAATGTCATTGGACAAGAAACATGTGTTTGGCTGTGTTTGGAGATTTGTGTTTGTTCTCTGTCCTCTTTGTTCCCCTTCTCCGGGGATTATTGCTGCCTTTCTTGTCCAGCTCGCTTGCAGCTTTGAATTAATTGCCATCTTAAACATAACCTTAAAAAATGCAGGCTGTTCGCTCTTGTTGGTGTTAGACTGGTGGCAGCTGATAAAACCCATGTGCTCTACTGACGTCTAACTCCTTGTTAGCTCAGTTGGTAGAGCGCTCCATTGGAAAGGGAGAGGTCCCGGGTTCGATATTCGGACGAGGCGGATTTTTTCGGTCGCGCGCCATTCACCTATAGGTGTGTTCGGAGATTTGTGTTTTTTCTTTGTCCCCTTTCTTCCGCTTCTCTTGTGATTATTATTGACATACAAATGTTTTGAAATCTAGCGTACGTCTGGACTTTATACTTCTCTTACACAAAAAATAGACTATATATTTATTTCAGTGTAATAAGAAGCCATATAAGATACTATGCAAAATATGATTGATGAAAACTGTCTTTGGCAACAACCTCAAAGATACAAGACATCCTGCCCACTCCCACTTTGAGCGCCAGTTAAAAATATTCGCGCTTTGCTCCATTCCTTGAAAATTTACGACCACCCACATTTTTTGCACGAACATATATAGATATTTTTTTCCAGTTAACCTTTTGGGTTCATGTCTCATACACTTCTAATTAAGCGGTGCTCGGATTGCAAAAAGTTATATTTTCATTTATATATTTGTTCATATATTTATATATATTTTTTATTTGTATGGTACCAAGAACGTTTTCGACAATAAAGGGAACTGGGGTTTATACGGGCAAAAGACGGAATATAATGTAATTGTGATAAGAAATAATGGAAATAATCAGATTGAAGTACTTTCAAGGTAAGAAACCCGAGCGCTATAAAACATAAAAGTATTTTTTTTTAATATTGACATTAACATGAAGTTATAACAATACTTTGTTGAGATTGAAAGAACAAGACAATTGGGATATAATTGCGAAAACAGTTAACACAAACAACGTATTTCAAGTGATTCTGGTTACGCATCCTTCTACTTTTACTTGATTCCGTACCATACATATGATTATCACATTCTCAGAACAAAACCCATAATACCCAAGACTCCTAACACAGCCGTAGTCTATTTGCTTCATCAGTTAAATGATATGGCACTTTCCAAGGCAAAATAAAGGCATCATTACATATGAGTTTAACCACAGTCGAAAGCAGGCGATTCCGTCGGCAAACTGTTTGCGGATGTGAACTCGCGAAAGTTTTGTATATAATCCGCACATTCCGATAAATAACGCAGGATACCATATTGTGAACGATATACGTGTACTCTGGGATAGATTTAAACGAAGCTTTGCTCTGCGCAACTCGAGTGTATCTTGTTTTAACGCCTATTTTGAACGCGTAGGACTAATATGTTTTTTTCGCTTTTTTTGGCCGTTTTTTTAACAACATTTTGCTACATTCAAAGAATAAAGTGTATATTCTTACACCCCTTGTTACATATACTACGCCTCAAAAACTTCAGTTCGACGTACAGTGCACTAACGTTAAACCGACGGTACCATCTTTCACGAACGGCTTGCTAGCTGAGTGGAACAACTTATTAAATTGGCTAATGTATGTGTGGCTGAGTGGAAAACAATAATCGGGGTTTTTCTTGGCCCTACTGCAAAACCCCAATGTTTTTCTTTCGTTTTTTTTTTTTTAGTTTTTGATACGCACTTCAGCTGTTCAGTAAGTTCTATTGCATCGTTATCAAGCCCCTCGTAAAAGTTGGGCCCGTGAGTTCGACGTTAGTGCGCCGTGCGTCGAACTGAAGTTTTGGTGTGTCTGATATGTGACAAAGGAATGTAAGGCTACACCCTTCTTTTTACAGTGTAGTTGTACTTTTCTAAGCTTAGAATTGTCAATATTAGAAACAGCTTTCGATATGATGCACGCATATCCTAATATAGAGCGCACATTTGATTGCTGCAATATCTACGTAACCTTTGGAAAGTTACCAGTGTACCGGAGTGGGAATCTCAAATATTTGCAAGCCTTTGCAGCGGTGTAACCTGCATTTCGATTTCAACACAACGAGGATATGTAAGAAAAACCCACAAGTTATTATATTGAAAATTGTGGACATCCGAAGTTATCTAAGGTACGAAATGCAGTACTTAAAAAGCGATCATTTATATTTTATTATGAGAATATAAAAAGTCCACAATCAGAGTAAAGAACCCATTGTTTAAATCGCCTTGATTCGACATTAAAGCCAGCAAGACTGAGGGTGCGATATTACTTGATGAGATGATGGGATGGAAATGCCTCGTGTTGGTTGCACCGAAAGAGTGCATCGAAGGAGGAGGGGAAGCGAGAATGATGGAGGTAAAGGGAGGAGGGGGAGGGAGGAGAGAAGGACGGGAAGGGGAGGAAGGAAGAAGGGGGAGAGAGGGTGAGAGGTGGAAGAGCAGGAAGGGAGGGGAGACTTGGGTAAGCGGTGTCACGTGACTTGAGATGTATAAGTTACATGACATCACTTTTCCCGCTAGAGTAAGCGGAGAAACTGAATTGATGTATAGGTCATATGACGTGTCAATTTATCCGCAAAATTTTTGCGGAGAAACTAAATTAGTCTATAGGTCACGTGACGGCGCATTTTCCTCTAAATTTAGGGGTGAAACTAAATTGGTCAATAGGTAACCTGATGTTACTTTAGCTAGGAAATCGAATTGATGTATAGGTCACGTGACGTCAAGCCGCCCCCCCCCCCCCCAACCATCCTAAATTTAGCAAATAGCACTGAAGGACGGAAGGACCAAATTCCAGGACTTAGGGTTTCGTAACATTTCATGCTTGAGACTGTTTTGGGGATACAATTGTCAGTCACATAAGACAAATTATACTTGGTGTTCGTTTTCTGGAGAACGTGATTGTTATAGTCTTATCTACACTGTCACAAAAAATTACAGTTTTTTTTTTTTTTTTTACCACAAAATTAAACTATGCACAGCCTAACGCTCGTCCTCCGTCCAAATGTAGTGCTAGAGGTTCGAACTAGGGGCCAAAGCATCAGCACCGAACGTTATCCTATTCAAAAGTTATGTGATTTTCTGAAATTTTTAATAAAAACAAGGGCCGATAGCACCATTGAAAACATAAAGCTATATTGCGCCAGTTACCGAAAACGCGGAAAAATCCTGAAACTGGCTTCTAGTTCGGACCTCTATAGCTACATTTGGGCGGAGAATGAGCGTTCGGCGATGCATAGTTTTATTGTACTGTGAAACAAACATTCTAATTTTTTTTGTGTGTGGACACGTTGTAGATTTATATTCGTCTCCATTATATGATTGTTTAGGAATATCAAACAGAAAAGGGCAGATCTCGGTACCGGTCCCCTAATTATATTTATGTCAATATTAAAGGAAAATTGTTAAGTCGAACCTTACATATTGTTGTACAACTTATCATTACACAGAAATATCATCGATTCAGATCATGAGCGTGTCAGTCTTTTACCGACGATAGAAGCAGAGGGATGGTCTAATACAGGAGTTTAAATATCTATTTCAGGCATTCCTGGATTTCATCTGGGCGATTGGGAACATGGTGGGTTCCGCAGTTGGCGGAACATTGATTGATGTGAGAAAATTAAATACAAAAATGTTTTGTGCGGAACTGTAATTCTCTGTCTCTGAGCTCTTGACGTTTTTCTTTCTGTCCCAGCTATGGGCTTATCCACTTCCCTTTTTTGTCTTGGGAACACTCATCATATTTTCAATTCCGTGGATCGTAAAATATCGAGCAACATTCAACCAAGATCCAGGTATTGTTTTCTGCAGAAAAATAAGCAACAAAAACAGTATGGACAACGAACGCGGAAAGAGCCGCATTTCTGATTATTTCTCTGTTCTCAGGCACATCGTGTTCTGAAGGCGACCTCAGAGAAGACGGAAAATCTTATTGGAGCCTTCTCTTAGATCCATTGTTTCTTAATAATATGGTTACTGTAATGACTGCATGGATAAGTTTGGGTTACAATGAACCAACTCTGGAGCCCAGTCTTAAAGAGGTTGGTCAATAAAGTTCCGTAATATTTTGCATTTGTAGAAACTGTATTTTTTTTTTCGCCTCACCAACCGACTAAGATGGAGAGGAATTTACATTCTAATAACGATGATCTACGTTTTTATGAAAGTATACAATGAAGGAATCATGGAGTTCTAACTGTCTGAAAAATAAAAATCACGCGAAACAGTTTTGTGCAGCGAGTTATAAATTATAACTTGCTGCTCATCACTTATTCGCCGAAACTTCATTTTGCATTCAGTTAGAAATTTAAAGAAGCAAAATTTTAACAATATAACTTATAATGTTTAGATTTATGCTAATATTTATTACTAAAAAAGCTGCATCTACGTGAAGGCAATTACATACAATGATAAGTGAGTTTCGAGTAGTAGGCCTCTCTACAGTTGGGAGTTCGTGGAGGCCGCGCCCTCGCGTTGAATGGCTAGCGGCCGATATTTCTACAGCCTATGTATGGTTTTCTATGTATGGTTGTCACGTGACGCCATGAGTATGACGTGATCACGTTATAATAAAAACGTGGCAAGATGACATCAGTCGCGTCAGAATGTGACACCGTAGCACCACGTGAATACATCCGGGAGCGTCAGGTCCCATGGCGCCCAGGAGTCACGCTCTTGCGTCAGTGACGTCTTGTAAAGCAGTGACATGACACAGTGGAAACACAGTGCCATGGCACACTGTGACATTGATCAACGTCATGGCACACCCTGTCATGGCACACCACAACGCGACTCTACAGTGGCACCTGACATCCTAGATTCATGGTGTCTTGGGCCATTGCTATCTCCCGTGACACTGGGGCGTCACGTGTGATTGGGACTTGAGTGACACTGTGACACGTGGCCTGACGTCACATGTTATCGCGACTTGACACCGTAATGTTAGGTGGCATAATGACCACGCGGCCATAGTGCTTCCTAACATGTGACCGTCGTGGGCATTGCATGTACGATGAGCTCAGAAAAGCTCAAAAACAATTTCCGTGCCCATCTCGAAACACGCTGTACATTCATTGTCTCCCCACTTAATCCTTGGAATTCAGATACAATTTTGTCCATTACATAAACCTCTATTTTTTTCTTTTTTATAAAACCTTACCGGTTTTACCAAAATGCAAATACATATTTCCGAAACCCAAAAGGTAGAACCTCAAGTGATTTGCCAAAATCCAGAAGCACTGAATTGTGCCAGTGTTTGTTCCTATGTTGCTCGGCAGACTAAAGCGCGGTGGAGCGCATTAGCAAATAAAACATACTCTCAGACGTGCCTAAAGGAACGTGAATCTTTGACTATGCTTTTCGTTGCAGTTTGGACTCGGGGTCAAAGAGATCGGGGAAGTTTTTGCGACACAGTTTGCAAGTTGCTCAGTAGGTGCCTTACTGGCGGGAGCGCTCTGCCATTTGGAGGTGAAAACACGCTCTTTCCCAGGCGGCATGGCGACACTGGGCTAGCGTCGGGGGAATATTGCTCACAATATTTGCCCAGTTTTATGTTTTACCCTATGACCTAGTATGGGGCGACTATCGTTTAACGATCGTTCTAAAAATGGGCTGGAATCGTCGATATCAGTCGAGTACTAGGCAGAGATGGGCAAGTGTTGGTGAACGATCGTTTTGAAAATGGGCCAGTACCGGCGCAATGTTAATAGATGCTGGGCAGATATGCGCGAATATCGGTTAACATGGCCGCGGCCGCTGCGGTGTCAGTGAACTTGAGGCCAAGCCAACGTTACTAAAACCACCCAGTTGGAAAATTGCCATAGAGCCTGCTCTGAAGAAGTGGCACCGACCCGTACTCGAGAACCGAGCTAATCGCAACGCCGCCATTTCTCTCGCACCGGCGACTCAAGGAACTGCACGTGACTTCTATTTTGGCTTTAATCGGCCAGTTTAGCGTCAAAACGTATACGGTAAAGGGGGCGTCAAGGGTGCCACCCCCCCGACTCCCGAGCGGACGCTTCGCGGATTACTGCCGAAGTTAGGATGCGCCTAGGTAGGCATGCGCTACCTGAAATCACCGCTGAGACATGGTAGTATAAAAACAATGTTAATTTTGTTACAAAACCTTGTAAACTGAAGATTTTAAAAAACATCACGCCCCCCCCCCCCCCACCGCCCCCCCGTTTTGTACTAAATTTCAATGAACGTTGCAACAAAAAGAGTTTTTTTCCGTTTGTTTGTACGGAAAATCCCAGTTCCAGCCGCTGATTTCCCAGCGCGCCCTCGGCGCGGCCCGTGGCAATAGTGGCGGCTGCCGCTGTTGCCACTTTAGAAACTATCAAGAAGTCCTAACACCGGCTGATACAGCCGGTTCAGAACCGACAAATTACCAGAAGACGGTGCTGGATACTGTATATCAGCGTGGCGTTAGCCGACCCAAGTGGTGTTCCGCCGACATCGGCAAATCACAGTAATACTGGCCCGATCTTTACGATCCAGCGCCAATATCGGCAGTATCAGAAATATATTCGCCCGTTTTCTCCAATCTGACGCCAATATTGGCGCCATACTGCGTGTTGTCCGGGTTGCACGTAAACTTTACTGTAACACTCAGTATTCTTTACAAGCAACCTCATTTAAAACTAGCGCCGCTTTAATAATTGCGTGCGTCTTTTGCTAAGCTTTCTTCCTTTGTTTCGTTCCTGTCTTCTTGCTTTATGAACAGCCAACTTACTACCTGAATTTTTCGAACAAGAGTATGATTTTAATATGAGAAATAAAAAGTTTTGATACGGATGTGACTGTATATTATATTTTAACTATTTATCTAATTTCAGGCAGACGCATTTGGTGCTGTTGTTGGCCATTGTCTCGGCGCTTGTGCCTACCTCGTACTGGAGCCCGCGTCTTTCATTTTGTTCGAGCGGTATTGTATATTTCTTTTTTATTTGCCGCTCTACGCAGATTTGAGTGTGCCCCAAATATTGACAAAATACCTATATTTAATCCGGGGACCTTTACGTTTGCTGCAGTTCTCTTTGGATGATCTACCTGTCTCAAGTCTTAACAGGATTATCGATGGCTTTAATGTTCGTTTGTGGATATTATAATGCTCTTAAGATCGTGAGGTAAGTCAAAAGCACATCTGGTACGACTTGATTATGTTTATAAGCTAAATAAAATGACTCAATTTTTTTATTTGTTACGTTTTTTTTATTTCTTTTGTAATAAATTGACTAACATCCGTGCTCATTTTATGATATCAGAAATCACAGATGCCTTCCATAACGTTATTGATATCCTGCTACAAGCAATTACCTGCCAGTGCAGTATAAAAATTATTTTTATTAAACTTTTTTTTCAAATCACTGCTCCACAGAACACACAGGCGACCGGTGACGAAGAACAATAGAAGGTTTTCACCGAGTGACGAAGCTCTAAGTATGATTACACCTGTGAAACGCGCTTTTAACATCACATTTTGTTTTGGTTTATTTACAAACTCAGCTAAATCATTTACCGGTATCCTTTTATTGTAAGGTGTGTTTGGCGGACTTCTTGATTCTGAAAAACTTTAAAGTCGGGCCTGTTAAAAGCATAAAACTTCTTTTCGAAAATATAGGATTTTTTTTTTCTTTTTCCGAAGACATTTGAACTGCTTCTTTAGTGGCTTCCACAGTCAGCGTCTGCCCAATCTTTTGGATACCTTTGAACACTGTGGCATCTTGTTTTTAGGGGGAAGTTATTCTGAGGTGAATATAGTGAATTCTACAGGGTGTTTTCGAGCGCAATATGTTACTGAGGGCGCTGACATAACAGATACCCAAACATATACATAACAGACACAAACCCCCGCACTAAACAATATTTAATATTTTTGTTCTGAGTGCGTGAAACAGCGGTGTGGACCCAGAAGTTTTGTGAGTGAAAAATAAGCTTGCGTTTAGAAAGTCATTCCATGGTGAATATTAAGAACAAAATTTGTATCCATCAGGTTCCGAGGCTATCCGAACACCATCCACACAAAAGCCTTTTTGTCCAGCACAGTATTTACAGCGCAGGTACTCGGGTAAGCAGCGAGAATGCATTCAAAGAATCGCTCCTTCTCAATCTCATGATTTTCATTCAACCGCACGCAGAATCTTGATAATGCGTTTTTGATGAGAAACTTACTGATTCTTTGAAACCCGGACACGAGTGATTCTGGATGGCTTCATTTGACCGTTGATTTTAGTAGTGTATTGTTTGACACTTGATGGTACATCGGTACTCCTCTTTTTTTTCAGTCGTATTTAAGCTTATGCAATTTATCACTTGATTTTTTTTTGTTTTGGTATTTTGCTCTAGTTTTGCAAAGCAAAAGAAATTTGGTTTTAAAATAAAAAAGTGTGCGCGAAAAATTTTATTTTTTCTTAAAAAAAAAAAAGAAAGATTGGCTATTTTACCCAGACTTACTCTGGCCAATTAGAGATGATATCACCCATAGAGTATTTCGTTGAACTATCTACGTTAACTGAATATTAATCATGAACTTCTTAAATATTAGTAATAAATGCGTACACGATATTATGTAGGAAAGAAGGGCCCCTATGTAAAATACGTTCATAATGTTAGGGGTTTTCACATGACAATATTAATGATCAGTTCAATTTCTAAGATGGCAGACTGAAAAAGCACATTAAGTACGAATGCTTGCGACTGTAAATTTATGTTGGGTCCATTGGACACCTCTAGCAGAGGTTTACGAAACATCCCTGGCATTCTAATCCATAATAATTTGAGGTGTGCATGAAAAAGTAGTTATCCGTGTGCGGGCTCTTAGTTTGATAAAATTTTCATATGATTATTGCGGTAATGTTTCATTCCAGAGGAATAATAATGCCACCAATCGCTGGTCGCTTA